CAACATACTTATGACTTTCATCACCCTTGAACCATTTCGGTTCGGCTGTAGCTGGCAGCCAGGCGTGGGGTAGTCAGCCCCGTATAGATCTATACACTCAAGTCACGCTCTCTAAATCCCAGAGATTCTGGTTACGGGTGTAGTCCTCCACTCGCGTATCTCTGTGGAGTGTTCGCCGAGGACGTGTCTCCAATCATACAGGATTTACAAATTTACTAATAATAATATGATAATCCCCCACTCGTGTATATATGTGGAGTGTTACTGAGGAAAAAACAGTGTACAGATATTAGGTTCAAATGTTTAATGTCATGCTTTTAACTGATAAAAATGTGGAAAGCCATTTGTGAAATATATGTAAAACATAACAGTTTAAAACCCATTTCACAAATATATGTTACGTGATTTGCATGTTCAAACGGTTATCAGTTGTAGTAATCAGTATTAAAAGCATATGAAATGTGAAACACACATTTGAAAACATGTTTTGAGTACAACAATTCCCTTGTACTTTACTTATCTTCCCCCCCCCCCCTAAAAACAGTGAAAACAGTGAATAAGGGTAGGGGTATGAACTCACCAGACTCGGGAATGCGACGGTTTCGTACACTAAATGTTGGTTCAGGGTTTGATTACTTGCGATGTCCATATGTAAAATGAAATAATGTCCATATATATTCAATTAGGGATACATTCACTAATTATATGGAACATTACACTCCGACGAGGTAAAACACCTCAAAACACGCGTTTGGAGTGACCCGGGTGACATTTACGGACGTGTAATGGCACTTGGGACTTGGGACTTGACTTTACTCCCCAAGAGTAAACATTTTAGGGAGTTTATAGCCACAAAACACACACATACATGAGTTTACGGTCGTAAACTCATGTTGGTGTGATTTTGAGTGTTTAATAGCTTGATTGGACTTGGGGATTGTTGGAATGGATTTCTAAAATGCCTTGGAATGGACTAAATGAATTTATACCACTTAGAAGGGAGTTTACGGCCACAAACTTGGAGTTTACGGCCATAAACTCACCCATGGTCAAGAATGATTAATTTGAGCTACAAGGGACAATCACATGTGATTCTAACTAATTTTCTAAGGCTTGGTATCAATTTTTGGCTTCAATTAACACCTTTATATGAGTTTACGGCCCAGATGCATACCCTCTGGCCGTAAACTCTAATATGGTTAAGAAAAATTAGTTTTTGATGCTTAAAACAATCACATGTGATTCTAGGAATTTATCCAAGCGTTTGGGGTGGTTTAAGGGCATCATTTGACCACTTATAGGAGTTTACGGCCCAGGAGATGATCTATGGCCGTAAACTCACTTATGTAGGGTATTTGATGTGTTTAAGGACCCCAAACTATTTTTAGATGGTTCTAGGATTTACCACAAGGCTATTGGTTGAGTTTCAAGGCATTTGGATATGTTTTAAGACACTTAATCCCCATTTTAGAGGAGTTTACGGCCCAAGCACATGCCTTGGCCGTAAACTCCTGTTTTTCCCCCAAAATTCATGTTTAATGTGTTCCAAGTCCAGATTTGGAAGCCTCAAGGTCGTATCTAAGTCCCAACTATGATTTGGAAGGGTAAATTTGGCTTAAAAACCCCATTTTGAGGTGTTTACGGCCCAAGCTTGATCCTTGGCCGTAAACTCATGTTCTTGGTCCCAAAATTTAATTTAAACATAAATTTGAAGGCTAAAGAGGTTAGATAACAAGTTAGGGATGTTACCTCTTTGATTTGGAGCCTTAAATCTTTGTTTTTGGACCTTTGATTATGGATGAGGAGAGAGGTTGGAAGTGTTTATGATAAAATGGCCAAAGGCTTCAAATGGAGGCTTAAAACACATTATATAGTGTCTAAGTTTTGGACACGGTGGAATTCTACCCGATACCGGTGTTAGGCGAGGCTTTTGGTCGTACCCGATTGAGTTGTCTTAACCCGATACGGTAAATTCTAGAAATATTCTGATCGCTAATATGGGTCGTTAAAATGATTTCTAAATGTATTAAGACACCCATTAAGTCATTTTAGTTCCGTACAAGTTAATGACTTAATTAAACAGAAGATCGGAAATCGAATTTGAAAACGACGATTGGTTGTGTGAATTGTACTACGAAAGAGTTACAAGAGATGGTACGGAAATTTCAGGTTGTTACAGTATATCGTACACCAAACCCCATACAAATATTGCCGCCAGATCTTGAGGTCGAACACTACTACCCCTAATTCCAGATTGTGAGTGAGATACCTCGACTCATGAGGCTTTAGCTGTCTCGATGCATATGCTATCACATGCCCCCTCTGCATAAACACTGCTCCCACCCCTGATATCGATGCATCACAACACACCACGAAATCCTCCATCCCCTTCGGGAGGGCCAACACTGGAGCTTCGCATAATCTCTGATGAAGTGTCTCAAACGAGGTATGCTGCTCCGGACCCTAAGAAAAAGTAACACCCTTCCGGGTTAACTTGGTGAGTGGCACGACGATCTTGGAGAAATCCCTGATAAATCTCCGATAATAGCCTGCTAACCCTAAGAAACTCTTGATCTCAGTAGGTGACCTTGGCACCTCCCAACTCATCACAGCCTCAATCTTGGCCGAATCGACCAATATCCCCTGCTGGTTAACGAGATACCCTAGGAACTGGACCTCCCGTAACCAAAAATCACACTTGGAGAATTCGGCGTAAAGCCTCTCCGATCTCAGAACTCCGAGGATTTCCCTCAAATTCTCCTTATACTGCTCTCTGTATTTCGAATATACCAAGATATCATTGATGAAAAAAATCACTGATCGATCCAACATCAACCGGCACACCCAGTTCATGAGATCCATGAACATTGTTGGTGCATTGGTGAGCTTGAATGGTATCACCACGAACTCGTAATGCCCGTAACGAGTTTTGAACTCTGTCTTCTAGATGTCCTCATCCCGAACCCTCATCTGGTGATATCTCGACCTCAATTTTATCTTGGAGAACCAAGACGCCCCGTGCAACTGATCAAACAGATCGTCAATCCTCGGTAGCGGATAACGGTTCTTGACCGTCAATTTGTTCAACTCCCGGTAATCAATGCACATTCGGTGTGAACCATCCTTCTTCTTGACAAAAAGGATCGGCGCTCCCCAAGGTGAGCTACTCGGTCAGATAAACCCCTTTCCCAACGGCTCCTGAAGCTGCGAGGATAACTCCTACATCTCGGACGACACAAGGCGATAGGGTGCCTTTGCAAAAGGGGTCGCCCCTGGCACCAAGTCGATACGAAAATCCACCTGCCTCCTGGGAGGCACACCTGGCAACTCCTCGGGGAACACATCAGGGAACTCCCGCACAATTGGGACCTCATCAATCGAACTTGGCCTCCCAGCGGCCACTTGCGTGTCCATCACATAGGCCACAAATCCCTTACAGCCCTGCTGTAAACTCTGTCTCGCCCTAGCAGCTGAAAACAATACTGACTAAGGATGGGTATGCTCACCGTACAATAAGTACTCCCCCATTAGGGTCTCAAATCATTACAGCTGACGCTCGCAGTCTATGATAGCTCAAATTGGCTCAACAAATACGTGCCCACTATGACACATACGACCACCATCGCAATCGGGACTAGGTCAATCGGAAACCCCACACTTAAGATCTCAAGCCTACATCCTTGAATAACCTCTTTGGCATACACTGCTAGTTCATTAGCTATAGAAACTCGCAGAAGTTGACTTAGGGCCTCTCCACAAAGACTAATATGACAACTAAAGGCTAACGACACAAAAGATCAACTCGCTCCCGAGTCAAATAACACTAGGGCAGACGCTGAATTCACAAGAAAAGTACCTACGCATAACATAATATAAGCATGATATCTCAGACTCAAATAAATAAAGAGAAGAAAAGATACCGACCACAACGTCGGGTGCTGCGCGGACCTCCTCCGTTGTCAACTGAAAGGCCCTCCCACGAGCCTTTGGCGCCTCGTCCTTCACTGGATGAACCTTGGTAGCCTTGGTCGCAGGCACAAATCCTTACTGAAGTTGAGGGCACTCGGCCTTCCGATGACCGGTCTGGTTGCAATGGAAGCAAACCGAAAATCCCTTGGGGCAATCCCTCGTGATATGCCCCTCTTTCTTACACTTGTAGCATACTCATACCCGACACGCCCCCTCGTGAATCTTGCCGCACTTCCCACAAGTGTGGCCCTTCGCGCACCTAGATCTTGAATCAGCAGGCTTAGTCCGCTTGGCTGCCGGATGAGACTGAGTCGGCCGCCGATCCATCCTTTGTGACTCAGCCTCCTCCCTGGCATGAGTCTCCAACTGGATCTCCCTCTTCAGGGCATTTTCTTGGAGCTTAGCAAATTTCCAGTAAGTCGAGTTCTCCATGAACTCCCAAATACCTCTCCTCAAAACACTCAGATACCGGCTCATGCGAGCCTGCTCAGTAGACACCTGCTCAGGGCAAAACATCGGCCTTTCATGAAACTTCCTCGTAATGACTGTAACATGCTCAGTACTGTTAGTCCCTAAATTATGGATCCAATTCAGTAAACAATGAAGTAATAATAATCAAAATAGAGTGTAGAAGGAGTAGAAGTAGTAGAAGAGAAATAACATCAAGCATGTACACATCTATAGCTCATAAATGTCAAGTACACCTTGAAAGTACACACACACACACATACTTCACCATTCAACAATGACTTAAATCTGACAAAAATCAGCTACCATAAATAGTATCCCCACCAGCACACGAGTGTGCAGCCATACACACGTTTGCGGTCACACACACAGTGTGCGGCCGCACACACA